CTCTAGATAAACTCGTTCGTCACTATCACAACGGACACTTTAATGCCTTCATTGCAAGCATGTGATCGCTGGAAGGTTGAAATGTGGCCCGAAAGACTTTTTCATCCATACCGCACCCAAAATTGGGACGCAATTTCTGTGCGGCAAAAACGGTGCATCCTAGCAATGGGACGCAATGACGCCAGCGAATCGTTGCTTTGCTTCGTCTTTCTTTCTTCATAGCACAAAGACGGGGACGTCTAAAGGCGCAGAACGTTCCGTTCATAGTTCCCGACATCGACAATTCAGTCGCGCGACTCAAGCGTGACTGTGACTCTGTCATCAGCGGTAGGAAGTGTTCTTTTTTATTTCTATTTTGTTGACTCGTCAGCAGATTTGATTTCGAATCTCACTTCCCGTGGCGAACATAAAACCGCTCTTGTGGCACAACTGAATCGCTCGTGCTGTATGACGCTGCCTTTTGGGTTGAATTTGGCCACTTATCATGGATCAATTAATGACAGCGAACTAAACTGGAAAAAAATAAAAATTAGACTCGGGTTTGAGATAATCCCCGCAAACCAGGAAGCGCGACAAGTATGCATTCAGTAGTTTCTACGAAGGAGAAACAAATGCCTGGCGTATCCTAAGAGAATTAGCAAGCCTGAAACTCCATTTCACCCGACCACTTATAGGCTCTAATTTATAATTTATTCATGGCTGTTACTTCACTATAACCTCCTGCTACATGACACCGAAGGAAGCGACAAAAAAACACAAAAAAGAAAAAGAAAGTTCAAAAAAAAGAAGAGCGTATAACTGAAGAAAGAATATAATTGAATCTTAACATACCAATGCGTAGCGGCTCCATGGTCTTCGGATAGAGTGCGGCTATTCCGAGTGCTGTTCCATGTCGAACCGCTCGTGGCAATGCCGTTATTCCACCAGAACCTGTTGAAGTCGCTTTCACATCGACCCGTCCCAAAAGCCCAGCAACTATCATCGGAGCGAGGAGGATCTCCCTGGAATGACATGAATCCTGTCCTGATAGCAGACACTTTGAGAGAATAAGGGGAAAGTGAATTATGCTATACTACTCATGAACGCACAAAACCTTTAAAAATCGCTAATCAAACTACAATCACAAGAATGCTCAGTTGTGGGCAAAAGTCGTGCCCCAGGCGGGAGTCGAACCGCACCTCACGCTTTCCGGGCGAGTGCGCTATCCGTTACGCCACCAGGGCCGCTTTTACCCTCTCAGCTTAACGGCTTATGCCGTAACCTTACAGCACTCACACGTTTAACTTGGTGAGCCGGTCAGCCGTAATCGTTAGATG